ATCTCTCCGTCCCACTGAGGTGGCGTTAGACTTTTTCGGATCGTAAAATATCCGTCATAATCCCTTATTACCCGTCGGGTCTGAACAGAGAGAGAGAGCACGCCCGTGAACTGTCAGGGGGGGGGGGGGGGGTGTGTTATGCTGTGTGTGCATGCACCTCGCGGGAGCGCGCACAGCGTAAAGCAAAACCTCCCAGACATGTATTGATCTGTACGGCAAAGTACGGTTTGGAAACTATATCATTTCTTTTTGGAGGGCATGCATAACATGGCATAACACCAGAGCCTCGCTGCGGGGAAACGTTGGCGCTGTTCCGAGTTTCTTCTAATCCGTCAAAATTACAGACTGCTTTCAGATTTTTCCGTCAACGCGACCACTGCTGTCCCAGCAACATCAGTACCAAGCGAGATATTTTTTTCCAGAGCAGGGGATATTGTAAATGCCCAAACATCCCAGCTTATAAATACCTGGAAATGTGGACATTCTCATATTCCTAAAAACCTGTCTGATGATGCTGAGTGAGTGACTAGTGAGTTTGAGTTGAGTTACTTGAAAAACTAAAGTGAAACTTGATTTATTTTATTGCAGGGTGTGATTATTAAATGTCCTTGTTTATTTGTGAGATGCAGTGGCACAAAGAAAATGCCTACTTTGTTTGGTAGTACTATAGGTACAAAAACACTGGTTTTCTTGTTCCAGTCTGTTACTGTCACTTTGTTTTTGACACTTTAAAATACTGCTATCCTACTAAAATGCTGTACAAATCAGATTTATTATGTAATAAAGAAAAATTTTCTGAGTAAAAAAAATGTTTATTGAAAAAATAAACTTCCCTTTATTATTCAATATCGCGATAAATACCGTACCGTGGACTTGTTATCGCGATATTATCGTACCGTGAGTTTTTGGTATCGTTACATCCCTAATAAGCGCACATATTTTAAACACCGTGGACCTCACCTCCTCATGGTCCCCCGGGAAGATTTTTTTTTAAATATTGAAGTTAAAAGCATCAATCTGGTGCACTTTGAGAGCAAAATTAAGAGATCTATGGATACATCTCTCAACACCCATATGAAACAGAACTGTAAACAGATTTTTCTTTATGGATATTTTACAAATCACTTAAACTGTATTCTTGTTTTGTCATATAGTATTTCATAACTGTTTTTCATGTATTCTCTCTGGCTGTCCATCTCATAATGTTCACATATAAACTAGCTGTCAATAGGAATATCATTCAGAAGAATTATAATTTCTTGCAAAAATCTGTCACAAAAAGAGGTTGCACATTTAAATTCAGGTGTTGTTATGGCAACGTCAGTGGCCAAACAGCCACATTTACTGCTGCAAATACGTTCAAACATGCTGTTGACACGTAAAGCAGTGACAACTATGCCACCATTTCAGCTTACTTTTTCTCAGAAATACTGTCACATAACATCCATATCTTTCAGTGCTAGGTTGATGCTTAGCTAAGCTAACTATGAAACACTTTAACTGACAGGACTCAGGATCAACTGTGTACTGTAAGGTAGCTTCTAGCTTCATGTCGAAAAGTAAGTCAACATTTCCCAGAGAGCTTTCTTTGAAATCACCAGGTAACACTAAAAAACATTACATTTAGATTGTATGACAAAGTGTTTATTTAATATATCTGGCTAGCTATAGCTACTTGCTAACGGTTTAGCTTACCCCCGCGATTCAAAGTAACGTCAACGTAGCTGTAATTTATGCTTTGCTTACATGTTCGCATAACTTGGAAGTTTACTGACATTTACATACCTTGTTTACCTGGCTCAAGTGGTGGCTCTGGGGTTGTTGTGTGAGCCACCACTTGAGAATTTTCGTCTTTTTTAAGACAAAAATGTCCTTATGTCCATCTTCAAAAACTCTGAGTCCGACTGACAGTTTATTTTAAACATTGTCACAGCTCATAGGATAGGTACCTGTACCAGGTACCAATTTCCATTCAACTCTCTGGTTGGTCTGGTGTCTTGCCTCTGTTGCATTCACTGAACACGGGAAATTACATTCCTGCCGTCCTCTCTGTCATGATGAGGTTCAGGTAAAGCACGGTTAATGCATTATATTATTGACTCAATAATATAATACATGACTTTGAGAGTAGGCAATCTCGGCATATTAACACAATTAATTAAACATACTTATCACGGCGACGGTGTACTGAGATTTTTTTTTTTGCTAGGGGGCCCCTTAGTGGCTACGGGGCCCTAAGCGGCCGCTTAATGGGTCGGGCCGGCTCTGTATACAGACACATTGCCACGAAAGGATGTCAAGTTTATATAGGGCTGATATTTGCCCTGATTTATCAACGATAATTTAATTTGTAAAAATACAAATAAGTTTTGTAGGTGTTGCTTTGGGACTGATACAACTTAATTGTTTTTTGTAATAATTAAAAACTGAGCACATACTCACTTTGAGAAGCTGTTCATAAAATGTAGCATTAAACCCTAAAAACGTGTTTTATAAATTGTTTTAAAAGTTTTGAAATTAATAAATGTATTAACTTATTGTTCAAGATACACTGCAAAAATAAAGGGCAACTACATCTCAATTAACAATTAAAGGACTATATTGTAATGTTAGCAAAAATACTCCCTTTCGTTTTAACAGTGAAGATTGGTCAGTGTAGTAAATATGAAACTTCCATTAGCAGTAAGTTAGCCGAGCTTAGCATGCATTCTTAACAACATTTAGCAAGGAAGATTCTGCTACTGGGTAAGAAATATCCAGAACATAAAACCCTGTTGTTTGCACAATTCTGATTAAAACAACTTGATATTGTAACCTTTAAAGCATGGTTAGCTGTTCCCAGTCTTTATGCAAATCTAAGCTAACCAGCTGCTAGCTTTAGCTTGACATTGACATGAAAGTGGTAGGCTATCAGTCTTTTCACAACTTATTCTCTACAATAAATCATATTATCGCATTATCATGTGCCAAACATATCTAAATCTCATCAAGACTATTATTGGGTTTGAACTCAATTCACAAATAATATGTGAATAAAAAGACAGCTGCAAATGTGCTTGGAGGTTGCTGGTGGAGTGTGACACGAGGCATGCTAGTCACTTCGACATGTCAGGATGGATTAGGCATGATCATGGTGGTCAGATGTGCAGCACCTCTTATCTGAGAGAGACCTAATGTATGACTGACTGCTGTGCCCTGCATTAGCATGTAGCCTACTGCCATCCTGTTAAATACGCTTTGAGAAAAAGCACAGTGTTGTTATATTATAAGCCTTTGACATCTTTCACAAGCTTCTGGTCGGTGCCTGTGTTATATGTCTTCAACAACTGAAAATTGACTTTTATCAAAACCATGAAAAGTTGGACTGTGACTAGTGGGAATGGTCAACAAAGGCTTTTGTGTTCTCAGCCTTGAAGAAAACATTTTTAATGATGTGTTTCATTCACAAGGGGGTAGCGTTTTGAGGGTCAGATTATTCAATGTGACCACAATGCACTGGGGTTAAAGAGAATATAATATGATTGGTTTGGCTGTGGAACCCAAAATCCCTCTCCGAACAATCAGCAGGGAAATGACAGTAACCACAATGGGATAAAGTAGATGTTGGGGTATGCTGGAAAATACTGCCCTTAAGAAACCCATAAATACACAAATACACTCAAGCAGGATCTGCTTCGCCTTTCAATCTCACCCTCAGGAAAGCCACAGGGAGGACAAAGGAAAGAGGAAAGTTAAAAATCAACTGACATTACACATTGAACTGCCTGACCACTGCTCTGAATTTTTTTATTTTGTTTAAAGGCGAAAACAGTCTCCTCCTTCTATCTTTTTTTTTATTAAGCATGAAGGTCGTTCTGGAAGAGTGCACATCATGAATCACATTCAGAACAAATCACAAATCACTTTCAATCAAGACAACATGGCAGTCTTCACACTCACACTCTCACACTTTGATTTATGTTTCTGTGGCTGGCTTCACTGTTGATTCTCACAGTTCCTACTACACTTTATATTTTGTGTCGATTTATTTCTACCTCCATCAATCCAGAATTGTTCCAGGTCCTCCTTCTACATCTTATCGGCACCCTTTTCATTGAGTGTTAAATGTCATGCACTTTAACCCCACGGGGGATTAATGGCACTCCCCATTAAAACTCTTGTCCCAACTGGAATTCATTGTGCCTCAATAACTGAGCCTATTCTGACAAATGAAACCATTTTGCGCAGTTAAATGACACAGAAATTATTTGTAGGGAGTGGAAAATCAAACAATTGGAGAACCAATCAAGGCTAATGAAGTGGGACCCTGCCATCATCAAAATCTCTCGTATCCTACATGATTAGCTTTCTATAGTGTTGCTAAGCAATACATTCTGGTCAATATACTCAAACCATGATGGGCAGGTCTGTGGATTTTTATCTGTTATCAATACAAAAATCAAACAGCAATACTGTAACCCCCCTTTCTTAAATCTAGTATTGCATGACAAAATCACTATGTGGTTAAAGGAGGAAAAACGATAGACACAATTGAGTGATTGGGTGATTAAAGATACCCTCGCAGCAAAAAGTGCTCTGCGGCAAAAAGAAAACCTGCAATAGGATTAAGAATTGTGATATTGCCGTTTAGCTTTCTTATCTTGAACCATGCTGTGTGGCTGCAGTCAGTCCACTGTTTTGATGCAGACGGTAATATCCAAACAATAATGTCATATTGTCTGTCATGACACTTGTTACAGACGTTCATGGGCCCTTGCTGATGAATACTTCTGACTGTTGTGGTCGTTTTACTTCTATTATATATATTTTTCAGTTTAATTCACCACACTAAGCTTTATTGTCCACGGAGGTCAATTCTAGTGCAGCAGACACATGGGTGAAACATATTGCACAATGTTAACATGCTAAACTTCAATGTTGAACATTGTGACCCTGCATAATAACCATGTTATCATTGTCATTGTTACCACTTTACATAAGCATATTGTTTCTCTACTCACCAGGAACCTTCTGCGTTGACTTGTTGTTCTCCTCACACTTCTGTTTGGCTCTGAACAAAAGGCCTATCTGCTCGTCTCTCGTCAGCACATCATCTGCGTAAGCCTGGAAAATTAGAAAATGACATTGAGTTAATAAACGGAACATTTGAGTTTAAATGGCAGTGAGGTGCAAGACTCATGTAGTAAACCCTACATGGAACAACATCATTAAGCAATATTGACATTTTTTACACATCCAAAGAGGCTTTGACATTAAGACTCAACAACTGGGATGCCTGATGGATCTGAAACAATCGATCTTTTCTCTTATAGAATATAGACAAGTAGGACAATGTGATTGATTCAACAGGGAAACTTTGTTACCAAATTGAAAGTGCTCATTATGATCAATGAGCAGATCTTTTAATCATGACTGACACTGATTCAACAACGAATACATGCATTATCTAAAAAGCCATTTGGTATTGAATTTAGTTGATTTTGATACATTGAACTTAATAATTTACGGCATTTCTTCGATCTCCCTTTCTAGAGATCATCATTGTAATTTTCCTAAAAACTGTTAATGCAAGGGCTCTCATCACTTGGCCATTGGCTCAAATTGTGCGACCTCATTTGGCAATAGATATTCACTTAACAGACAACATATTTGAGATTGTTACTTTTTATTAGACTTCTCTTAACCTTACTGACTGTAACTCAATGCTAGATTGACAACTTTTGATATCTCCAGACATGATTTTCTCTTCACAGCTGCTTCAAAACCCTCCAGCCATGGGTTTCCTCATCTTTGGTCACAGTGCTGCAGGCAACACGCTCTGAATCTGGTTTCATTCTGTGAAATATTCTTGAAAATGTACACTGCTGACATTTTCTTATTTTGGAATATGAGGGAAAGCAACAGGGTAGCCTGGATGAAAGACAGCCTGGTCTATCTAGAAGGTCAGATTAAATTGTACTTAACATAACAATCCACCCATCAGTGTTAAAGCACTATATTTATTCCTGACATGAAGCAAAAAAGGACGTTTTTTTCTCCCTTATATAAACAGTTTCCATTTCACTTGTTGTTTATAGTCCCAGTTTGTATTCCTGTGGTTGTAACAACTGTGTGGTCATTAATCGAACTCGACAAATGTATAACACGAACAAACACACTATTATTTTCCTAAAATGTTCTCACCCTATACGTCTCAGCTTTTGAACATTGTGTTAGAGAGTGTCGTGGAACCTCAGGTGTGGTTTTTCCAGTCATGAAAATATTTTCCTTACTAATAGGTCACATCGCCTGGCTCTCTGTTTCTCTGAGGATCACTCTTGGGCATGACAAATGTGATTGTATTGAAAAAGAACACATTCATTCTTTTAGTGTGACAAGAAAAGAGGAAATAAAAACATAGAAATTCAAGCCTAGTTCTGAAACTAAAGCATGGATCAGCGCACAAATCACGATCGTCTGTTATAAGGGGGTTTTCATGGTGCTTTGAGCCAATGAAAGCCAGCGAAATGAAATATAAAAACACAAACGAACGTGTATGCCATACAATGTGCCTGGAGGTATGGCTAAAAAAAACTCCTAGTCTTATTTTTTTGGTTCAGTGATGCAGAGCAAACAGTACAAATGAAAGACAGACGTTTGCTCACAGCAAACCTGGCTGCTGCTATGTAGAAATCTAATTCTGCTCATAGGTTTTACAATGAGAAAGGAAAATATGTTGACAAGCGGCAATTTAGTCCCAACATCCGAAGAAAATAAAAAAGAGACAGACAGAGTGAAGTGGTTACGTCCATACACAAATACAAATAACTACACTTAATATGTTCTTAGAATATAATTATCATTTCAGGCTTTCTGTAACTACAATTTGGTGCGGATTATTTGTCCATTTCTCCCTTGTTAATTTGAATCTGTCCAACATGATTATTTTGTTAAATATGCGCATATGAGATGTTTCTATCTGTGTTTGGTCAATTTAATAGCACATCATTGTCAGTACAGTCATTAACTCCTTCTCTCAATACAAAATGTGCTTTTATCTAAATTCTCTAAAATATAAAAAATATAAATACCCTTGTTGGAGCTGTTTTATAATTTATTATGTTTTTGGGATTATTACTACATTGATTTGAAGCCGGTAAAGTTGGAAAAGTACATCACATTTGCATTTAAAGTACAGAACTTGATTTAATACCAGTATATATTTTAGTTAATGCATGATTATTGTTGCACCATTGAAATGCTCGTACAGTTATTGTAGTTATGTACTACTACACCAAGCAGGATGTATAGTTCTACAGTTGGCTGCAACCAATGAACTGAACACCATCTCTTTTGCAGCAAAGTTTACTTTCTTCCAGACTTTCTAAGTTCTCTCTAGAGCCTGTTTAAAGTCCAGAGTAAGCTGCAGAGGAACTTCTAAATCTGCGTGCTGAGAGAAAAAGTAATTTGGGAACAAAGACGTGTATACATTGTCTCTTTTGTAAGCTTAAAATGATACTGTAAATACCAAGCTGTCGTGGATTTGCTGCACACAAAACCATAATACCTCAATCCATCAACATTGTCAGTACTCTCAGTCCTGAAATAAGGATGTCCAGTCTGAACGCTGAATAAGGTTACAGAATGAAGACGTTTATGGCTTTGCACAGTAAACAACCACAGATGGAACAACATTTGACCGCAGGCGAACAAGGATAGATACTACCTGTTTACTGTATACTAAGCCAATATAGAATATTCCACTGAACGCTGCTGAGGCGGTCACACTATTTTCATCTGAATAACCGGCTGGTGTTACTTAAGGTGAAAAGCTGAACCAACAGGAAACCAGAAACAGTAAATCTGGATGGTAACTGCTCTGAAAGGACAAGTGTCATTATCGTCAAAGCATATAAAGAACAGTATGAGTAGTTTGGCAGTTTTGTAATTGTGCATTTTCACAGCTTGAATTTAAAATACCAAGCTCTTATTATGTTATAGATCAGTAATTGATATTATATGTTGCATTTTTTCACTTCAGTCAAACACTTCAAAGTGAAGTGATATGTTTATTACACTTCACATACAATTTCCTTTTTGTACACAAGTCTTTTGCTTTCACAAACCTGTCTAGTAAAGCTGCCGTTCCAACACATTACCAACACATTTCTTAACCTTTCCAGGTCAGTTTGAACCCCTGTAAAACATGAAACTAAAATGAGGCGGGGACTTTTGCGGTTTATTTTTTCTAACCCTTAAAAAAGAGGGACATGTATGTCTTTATCTGCAGACGCCATCTCACACAGACATAGTAGAGTATCATTTACCATTTTAAGAAGAGAATCCTGTAATAAGTGTGCCCCCTGATTATTTCTGAAAACTAGTCCTCCTCTCTTGGCGAGACTCCAAACCTCCAAAGTAAACATTTACAGGGAGAAACATTGACATTCTTATTTACTGCATTTCACTCAAAACAGTAATCTTTTTGTCAAATACTTTTTGCATGTGTGCCAAAATGAAAATTTGAAAAATACACGCCATGTGTGTTTTCATCACCGGTCGCTAGAATACAAACGCCACTTGAATAAACCGCACGTTTCTATTTGTCTTTGCAAACTGCAGCTTGATGACTTAGACTGCAACGCGCTGCAAGGATATAAGACCAATATTGAGAGAACTGTTTTTAGGCTTGTGTGCAAGACAGTGTTGAACCACTATGGCTAAATACTGACACTACAGTATATAGCATGTGATTGAAGGAACATTTACAGTTCTAATTCCAGCATTTGGTTTCTATATTATTTTAGTAACTTACAGTTTTATTTACTTACAAAAGTTCAGCTTGACTGGTCCCATATTCAGTGTTCATTTGTAGATTTGTGATTATTTATAAGTAAAAAATACATTTATTTTAATGTAAAAATGGAGTCACGTGGATAGACGGCATGCATACATGGAGTGGAGACACTGGGTTTCCGGTACATTACCAACAGTCTTGATTGTGGACAGCCTTGCGCTTTTTCTTTTTTCAAGAAAGTTGTGGTTGACCAAAGTCATTTCCTGAAATGCCCTACAGTGAATAAGAGAGCGAAATGCTGGAACTCGTAAGGTAGACTTTCAATAGAGAGCACAAAGCTAAAAAGTTGAGAGTTTAAATGATCGGTAAAAGCTCCACTGAGTTTAAAGGCGTGTAATTATCTATCAGCCAAGTCAAACACACCCTAAAGATGATATTAGTAGTATCGCAGACCTACTCTTAATACAAAAAAAATACACTACTGAACAAAACTCTAAGTCTAAAATCAAAAACTCATATCAAACCAGATTTGTTTTAAATCATGACAGCAAAGTATTGTGTGATCAAAAGTCTGAAGCTTGAAATGGTTGAGACCTTTGCACTGACCGCTGTAAATTTAGAAGATTAAAAAGAAAATGTCTCATTATCGTGGTGGTGTGGATCGTTAAAATCACTCACAGCATATTTCCACGTCTGAACACAGAAACAATGCAGCATCTTGATAATGAAATGCCTGCTTGCTGGCGAATATACTTGCAATAGCTGAATAATTTAAACGATAAAGATAAATGAATGAATCTAAGCACTCTTTTAACTACAACATGACATGAATATTAAAAAATATATAATAATAATAATAATAATAATATATTAATTTTATATAGCGCTTTTCTGGACCCAAAGACGCTTTACATTTATTTGTAAATGTAATGCAACTAACTGAATGATTACTAAAAATGGTGGATTACATTTTTTTTTGTATTTGTGATTATCATGACTGCATTGAAGGCTCCATGAAGCATACATTATAGGAGGTAGTTAGCTATAATGTATTATAAAAACATGCACGTCATATGTCACAATCAAGGGAATATCCTTGAGACTCTCAATTAAAGACATCGAGATTAGTAAATTATGACAAATATATAACCATAAACTGAATGATTGCTTTCTAAACTCCCAAGCCACTGTGGCCTAATGGTGCCACAGTGGGAACAGTTCTAGGACAAGGAAAATATTACATTTGTCTCTTTGTATTGGAACCATGGGAATAGGAGCCAGTTGAGGTGGTTCGGGCACCTAGTTAGGATGCCACCTGGGCGCCTCC